GTTGTTTACAAAACATAGCCATCAATAAAGAACGTTGCAAAGACGGCAGCTAAAATAATTGCTGGTTTTAAACATCTTGAAATATTTTTATTGCTTTTTTAGGAGGATTAGTATTTTCTCATGCATTTGTGGGAATCTGTGGATGTCATAATTATATGTCATTGTCATTAATTCTGCATGTGCAGCAGAGGAGACTGGCATTAGATAGTTTTCCTGCAAACAGTCAAACCCAGGTGTTAGAAAGTGTAAGATTATTAAATCTGTTAATATTGATTCTTTCTGCTATCGAAGTGATTATGAACACTGTAAAATAAATGAAAATCTAATCTGTCATGTTGCCAGAACTGTCACATAATATTCATCTGTTTTTTTCTGTTCTGTTCTTTACTCTATATTCATCTGTTCTTTACTCTATATTTAGAAAATAACCGGGTGGCAGTGATCTCAGTAAATGTCAGTCTAATTCCCCACACAGAAACATGCGATTTTACTTTATTGGCAATGACCACATACTGTACTTTGCACAACTGAAAAGAGGAAACGACAGCACCACGTATTTGGATTTATATACTGTAAGTAAAAGTCCTTGCTGCTGGTGGAGGTTATTTCAGGACAGAGAATAGGGTCACGGTCCCTCTGTAGGTGATCAGTTTGCTTACTTGGGGGTTTTTAATGGAGTCAGGCAGTGTTGAACTCGGCTAAGTTCATCAAACATTTATCAGGGAATGTGTTGCTTGGATTGTTAAGAAACGATCCTTTTAAAGGCACCTTTCAGAACGTGTTAAATTAAGCAGCAGGAAAAGCAGACGTACCTGCTGCTGACTCAGAATTATTTTCAAGATTCAACCAAGTGTGTGTAAACATGTCTCCAATATAATGTATAAGAAAACGTTCTACGACTGATGTTTAAAGAGGAGATGGTGAAACCTGACATAGTATACCAATGACATCACTATTAAGTGTTTGAATTAAAGGATATTTGCTACTGAAGAATACAACTAAAAAATATGCAAACAAATATAGGACTTCAGAGATCCATAAATTTTCATATTATTGGCATTAACTGAAGAGGAGTTTTACAGAAAGGGCTTTGTGAAAGCTGAAAGCGGATTGTTACTGATTTGTTTTGGTGGGAGGGGATCCCAGGACTGGGTTCAAATTCAGATTCTCAATGTTAAATTGAAATGATGGATCAAAGGGTCAGCATAGCTCTAGTAACTTTTTTATGAGTTGTTTGCAATATATGCATATCAGGGTAACCGCTTCTACAGAGCAATAAACCAGGTATTTGTCACGGCGTTGGAGGTGCTGTAACACCACACAGATAATGTTCCTTTTATCATTCATTAGCCATGGACTGATCGTTTTCAAAGCTGTGCTTGGCCCATTCACCCATCCTTAGCAGGGCTGAAGGGGAAAGGGGAAAACGGTAAATCCTGTGTTATTGTCTTTATCTTTGAATCTCCGCTGTTACTGCATTATTCAATTCATTAGTCACCTGAGTTAATTTTCTACACCTGCTTTTTGTTTGGAAGTGTACGCATACCGCTGGGCCTGAAGGCCAAAGCACATTAACCCAGACAGCCATCCAGTTCTCAAGATCAAGAGCTGTCTGCAACAGGTGGTGCTGTCTGCTGTACTGGGTCCTGTCCTGAGAGGACAGTGCCAGTAAGAATCCCATGGAGCACACTCTTCTGTCACCATAGGTCATGACAGTTTACTGGGCCACCAGTGGACCAGTTTCTTGTCCTACCTGTGCACAAGCCTTGCTGGGAGAGAGAGAGCCTCACTCCTTCTGTGCTGCAGTTTCCAAGCACGCTTGTGTTGCTCTTGAGTGTCCTCATGACCCAACTGCTGCCTGTGTCCGTTGTAGCAAACACAGACACGTCATGATGAAATACAGTAAGAGCTCTGAAAATCTTTGCCATTTCTGCTGATGCTGGTGAAGTAGATTTTTGTGTGTGACGTGTGACATTTTTCCAAGAGTCCTCATTTTCTTTTCCAGTTAAAAAAGACGTGTTGACATTTTGTGGGATAATCAGTTTTCTTCCAGGGATATTAGTGTGTGTGGTCGTCGATTGAAATTTGGCATGATTGCTGCTGTACAGAAAGTGTGCATTAACTAAACTTACTGGCATTCAGCTTTTACTGTACGTTTCAAAATGATGGCATTACTTACAGATTCTTGTATCTTTTTTTAGACTTTCCTCTGATTCCAGAGTGTAGTCTTGAATCTGAGCATGCCGTGCCGAGTATAAATCTTCTTGTTTTAGTCACGTTAATTAGCTAAAGAGCCGTCCTGATCTCATATCCCGGTTGCCTGGCAACAGCAGTGCAGCACAGCTGCGGAACGGAAGCCTGTCGAGGTGTCATTTTCAATAGCAGCGAACATCTATTAGTGAATTCATAAACTTCTAGCAGGGACTCAGAGTCACTCTCCTTGCCTTAGAGCCACATCTAGCACAGGTAATTGAAATGAAATCTCACAGGTTCCTGGAGAAAACTCACTGGTGCACGACGGAGAAACTCTTTCTGCCCCTGACCGTGAATTGTAATGCATGTCCCTCCTTATCTCGTTGAAGTCTTATAATAAGCTAAACTGCCGTGAATAGCAGGTTGAGTTCAGGTCTGTTTAGAGCCACGGAGCCCTAGTGCAGCTTTCTTTTTACAGTTGACATCTGTGGCAGAATCACTCCAGCGCTGTTGTGTCTGTCGTGCGTTTGGATACAGATTTGTCATTGGAAAGAAGAGGAAAGCTTGACAAACCAGGGCAGGACCATTCTGGTAAATCACCACGGCTGGTACACTGTTGACTTTCGATGAATGTTTGTTTCATCATTAAATAGAAACATGCTTTTGCAAGGCAAAGAAATGTGATCCAAATCTCATACCAAATCAACTCACTGAAAAAACAGTAAAGGTGTCAGACAGCCCCAGTCTGAATCCGCGCAACAGACTACCCATCTTTGACCTCCAGATAAAATACCCGTTTCTCATCAAGGCTTCTCGGCGTTTCTCCGTCTCGCTGTGCTCTTTTGCAAATCGCGAGACCAGCAATCTCTGTGTGCTGTTTGGCCATGGAGTGACGAGCCCCCGCCCAGTGATTCAGTCTGCTTTCAGTCTTCCCATTCATTTGCAGATTGCTGCGATTCGACACCTCCTGTAAACTGCCCCCAGCCATTCTCAGCTCGTCTCTTCTTTCTGTCCCACCCCACACCCCAGCTCTTGCCCTCGTCGCCCTGGCCCTCTGTAAGCTTTTCTACCCTTCTCTCTGCTTTTGGGCAATAATTACAACGTGAGGATCACTGATATGAATTCTGAAGAGCAGTGATGCTGATCTTCATGACTCTGGTGCGCAGGCTCTCCAGTTTGACCCCATATCTACACCCCGTTTTCTATTTAATAACCAAATCTCAATCCAAACATTGCATTTCCCCACATTTTGCCTACAACCTGCAATTTGAGAATTGTTTACGAGATACTTGATCAAAAGCTTTCTGAAAATCCAAATATTATATGCCCTATATGCCTGTTGTTACTTGTTCAAAGAACTGTAATAAGTTGGTTGGTCAAAACATACCTTTTTATAAATAAATGTTTTGACTATTACCTTCTAGGTGATCCTCTAGTCTAGTTCTTACAATTGTTTCCATAACCACACACGGGGACAAAAAGTCTTCTAAGAATGTGTGAATCTTACAATTCAACACCAGTGCTTTTGGAAAGGCCAGAATCCCTTCGTGTGAACTCCAAGACAAAGGAATGTCGGGACGAAACCAAGCAGCCAGGCTCCCAGAACAAAGGGGTCCCCTACTGGATCTCATAGTACCAAGGGTGTTGGTCCTCCTGGGGTGAGTCATCCTATGGTGGCCCTGGAAGGCCAAACCTAACCCCAGTTCTAAAGCTGTATTTATGGAGATGGTTAAAACCACACGCACGTGAAGAGGGGGGGAAAGGTTATTGTTTGTATTGATGTTTCTTTGACCTGGGATAAAATGAAATGTATGCTGTGTGTTATTGAGATACATTTGATGCTGTTCTTTTGTAGGAAATCAAATGGATGTATTATGGATTTATAATTTGTGAATTAAGGTTATGTAAAGAAGAAATGGTTTGTTCCAAAGGGGTGGGTATATAGGCCAGCTCCTCAGCCTAATAATCGGTCAGTTGGTGAGTCAGGTAGTTGTGACCAAAAGCAGAGAGAAGGCAGTAAGAGTAATTGCAGGAGGATTTGTCTTTATTTGAACGATTATTTTTGTTCCTTTTTGGGGAGTTCCTTTTCTTGTGTGGGGAATGGAGAACACTGTAAATAAACTGCACTTACATCACTTGAGTGCTCTGCAGCTGAGCCAGGCTTTTATAGAAGAGACCTACTTCGGCCTTCTCAGGCCGCTGTGCGACAGTGCCCTGTTGTTTCTCAATAGCATCCCAGATATCTCAGATAATATTAAAATAAAAAAAACAGGATGAGGGAATAATAGAGTTGAAGACAGCTTAATCTGTAATGAAATCAGGCCATTCAGAGCTGTTTTCCTTTGCACTATTACTCAGTATTGAGTTTAAATTAGAATGATTCCAGTGTTTCAGTTTTAAAGTGTGATTTAGTCATTCAGTCCATGCATTATTCTCAGGAGAGAGTGTTTGCTTGTGTCAGTGCAAAGTTTACGTTTTAAAACGTTTCTTCCCCATGTCTAATCTTTTCAGAATAATTTCTGCTGCTTATCACCTTGCATTGTCCTTGTGACACCCTACACCCAGGCTGTTTGCCATTCCTTCTGCCTCACCACCTAATACAGACGACACCTCTTTAATATCGACGGCAGATAACCTGCTGGTTCTACCTCTGTGTGTATTTGCATAAGAGGTACCTTGTCAATGGCTTTTGGAAAGTCCAGATATTCAAAGATGAACAATATAAACAATTAAAAGTGCTTGCATGAAAGTGCTTGTGTCAAAATACATTTTGCTAAAAGCATCTCAACTTTTTTTTTCTCTTCCAGATCACTTCAAACGAGAAACACTTGCAGTGCCTTAAGGAGGGGGCTGATCTTGTCCACACTCTCCAAAAAATGTCCCAGGCTGCCAGGTGAGTTTCCTGAGGCCCCCTGAAAAGCTATTTTGAGTCTTTCAAATCTTACAGACTCACCCTCTCCTGTGATCACATTCCATTCACAACAAGCATCTCATGTTTCTAGCCTCCCTGGCGATACCCGACTGAGCCTGGAACTCCCCTCTCTGTGCCTCTCGGGATTGTATTTGTTGTTATTATTATCAAGGTTCACTTTGATCCATTGATGTGGGAGGCCACAGCAGGGCCGCATGATGAAAGATTCCTAGAGCTGTAATTTCTCTTATGGCCGGATACTGGTGTATTGTTGAGCAGCTATCAGCCTAGAGCCCAATTTGGAGTTTTTTTTCTCTAAAATGAGAGAGCAGTCCCTTTGAAGTTCAGCTGTGAAGTCTGTAACAGAAGAACATACTGGCAAAGCTTCAACTGTGTAAAGTTTTGGCAAAGCTGCAGCAAAATTCTTTGTGCAAACTTTTCACTTAAAGCTTTGTTTAGTGTGTATTATCCACCCCCCTTTTCCCCAGAAAAGCAAGGCTCACCTGAATTCTCACTGAATGACGGTTCAAAGAAATAGACTGTAGCTGCTTGTAATTTACCCAATGATTTGTATCTTTTATTCAGAGATCCTAAATGCTATAACTGGTCTCATGTAATGCTTAGGCATTTATTAACTATTAAATGATATACTTCAAAGATGAAGAAACTTTAACTTATCCTGAATAAACAGCAACTGTTGGTCATAGTTTGATCAATTATATGTAGAGACAGGCAATGCAAATAAAAAATGGTGACCAAAAAGGATGAAAAAGTGATTTCTGAACTGCTTCTTTTTCAGATCCCATGCAGATGCTGCTGTTGTTGCACTTGCTACTGAAATCCTGAAAGTCATTGGGCACTGATGCTCAGATGTAAAGAAGCAGGACTCGGGCCTAGATTTGAGTAGTGTTTTTCAGTTATCTTTTAATAAAGATTCATGCTGTACAGTTAACTTATTCATGTTTGAACTAGAAATAGGATTTATATATTTTGTGCTTTAGAAATTTTATAAGTATTTGTTGAAACATTACTTTCTGGTAGGGTCATCTAGACTCTGGCTCCTGGGCCTTCATTTCCCAGTACTCCAGTAAGCATGGCAGTGGAAAGGAGAGGCAGAGCACCCAACTGGTTTCTCCATCATTTAAAACTAAACCAACACCTGTGTTCTGATTGCTGCCACATGTGTGCTTGGACAGGTGACAGATTCAATTAACTTCCCTGCTCTCTTCACCAGGTGCCATTATCTAGTGATACACCCCCTTTCTGGTCACTTCTTGTATTACTTGTCAGGCACTTACAAACATCTGGAGGTTAAGTCCAATTCTTAAACCTGAGCCAAGTGTGGAAGCCAGAGTTCAATCTTTAGTTCACAACATTCAGAACCTAAACTTAGTCATGTACATCTTCCCTAAGATAATGTAGTGAAATGCAACTGTTCCAAGACATGCAACAGTTTAGTTGGAAATTTAAAACTCTTATCAGACTGCTATAGTTCAGCAATAATATTGAAAGGATGTTAATACTTTTTAAATCACGCTAAAAAATGTTCATAGCTGACAACTGTCATTGTATTTAAAATAAAATGGACTTCATTACCTGCAAGCCTCCAATAAAGATTACTTTCAGAAAAAAATAAATGCTTTCTTTTTTGTGTTGGTTTCACTCTTACATCAAAGCAGACTAATATTTAGCACTCAGATGTTTTGCTATAAACTATACATTTGAAAATGAGCAATATGCAGCTTATCTAAATGTCCTTAATCCCAAAACACTTAAAATCAGACTCCCAGATATTTAAACAGACTATGATATCACTTTTGGCAGTAACTGCCCATGTGCAACTACATTCCATGTACTTGGTGAACATTTACTGTCTGCCAAGTTTCACAAACAGTTGCTCCTACAAAAAACAACTCAGATGCCCAAGAGAGCAATGTCCATTTTTCCAATGCAATTAATCAATGGGACTACTCTAGAGACTCCAATTAACTCCAAAGTCCTAGACATGTTCAGGTGTGTTAACATTAAGTGGTGTAGAATTATAAAGCAAAGATTCCAAAAACAATGACCTGTGTTCCAGATTGAGAAACTTTTTTTTCCAGTGCTATGCTTTTGGGGGTAAAGCATGCAGGTCTTATTAGATCAAAGTCTGTACAGGCACTTGTGTAGTTTTAAGGCAGTGTAAGGTCTTTGTATACATTTCTGCTTACACAGGTAGGATTAAGTTTTGGGTATGGAATAGTGTCAAGTCACTAAATACATTCAGAGAACGCTCCTGCAAATGTAGGGAATCTGGGTTTTTCCCCATGAAGTTGTTAAGACTAGTCATCCCATGAGGTGTGAGGTTTCATACTTATTAGAAGTCAAAGCAATTAAGTAAAATCAAGTACCCAGTTGCATGAATGCCAGAACCTTACAGTATTTGATAAAACCCGATGTGATAACTTCATCTTCACAGCATAAATATGCCGTCTCAAATACAAATCGGTAGCTCCCTCAGAGAATGCAGACATCACATTTGTCACAGAGAACAAGCTTTTACAGTTCATCCCTTTTCACTATTAATTCACCCAGGAACACACTTCCATTCACCGTGAACCTGCAACAAGGAAAATGAGCCACCTGCAATTGTAAAAGTGTCAATACTGTTGGCAACTTGTGTGAAACATTATGAAAGAAGACAGGCATAACTGAAATAAAAGTCCATTTTATTGTTTAGCCATTTCATAACCATGTTTCCAATAAGCACAGCAGGCTACAACAACTTACGGTTTTCATTAAACTACCTTCAATTGCAAAAATTCTGGCCCCACCCAAATGCACCCCTTTGGAACAATCCTTAGACACTGGAAACAGTTTCTCTGCTTATGTAAGCATTTAAAAGAATGTATTTGGACCATTTCCAATTCCTGGTTTTATACAAAAGCTACACAATGTTACACTTTATTCAGAATACAATTAAATTGATTAGTGTTCTACACCATTACTTGATAAAATTTAGAAACTTATGGAGCATTACCACTATAACTTAACACTACAAGAAAGACTTAAAAGGAATACAAATTACTGCAAAAAATGACTAGACTAGTTTAAAGCAAGCTAGATCAGTACCATTACAGAAACTGAAAAATAAAAAAATAAAAAGTAATAAAAAAAGACAGGCAAGGCTAGGGTTTGAATTTCCATCTTAAGATCCACTCTTGTGCATTCTCCATTTAGGCACCAGCTCCAAAAATCCTTTTGCAGTTTACTCCTCAACCAAAAAGGACCAGAACAAAAAAAGTTTTACTTCGACTGTTCCCATAGGAAACTCAGCTTTTGTTAGTGTCAGGCACTTTCTGAGATACTAGCCCACCCCTCGAGCCCTCTCAGCAACTCTACAGGCCAAATCACAATGCAAGTTCATTCAGACGATACAGCTGTGGAAAAAAGCCAAAAAAGAAACAAGTCAGAAAAAAAATCACTTACTGCTGTTCAGGTCTAGAAAACATTACATTCAGCAAGGCACTGTTTTATGATTAGTAACACTCCCTCCATCACACTTATCATGCAGAACATCACCAGGAAACTACAAAACCTTAGTCTTGGCGGCATGAAGTCTTTATTGAAGTCTTTGTTGAAAAAGGCTCACTCTTACCTAAAGTAGTAATTTACAGATCAGTATCAAACCAGGCCAGCTGATTGCTATCACCTGGGGGCAAGCCCTCAATCAGGTCCTGGGCATGCCCCAGGTCTGGCAGCCCATCAACTGGGTACTCAGCGCCAGGGTGATGGCCACCCATGTCATGGTCCATCATTGGGTCCATACCCATGGCATCCTGCCCGTACCCGCCAGAGTGGAACGAACGGTAGCTAGGGTCTGCAAATAAAGTGGTTGGAGGGGAGGGGAGGAAAGCACACAATTAGATGTTAGAAGCGTAAAAACAAGCAGCACACCCAAAACACGCAAATAAACCCCTGTACCTACTTCGGCACGTTCTTAGAGGTCACAAGATGGCACTTCACGCTGACAGGGGAGCCCTTGCTCAGTAACGGGCTCTCCCTCCAAGCGTATGCTATGCGGTGTAGTTAGTCTTACTTGGTGTGCAGTGAAGGTTTATACGCTACAGTTGTTCAGCTGTAGTTACAAGTGAGTTTATTTCAGAAGTGCACTCCAGCTCTCTGAGACAAAGCTGTATCCGGGAAGTGACGCTGAAAAAAAGCTCACCATCTTGACGGTAGCCAAGAGGCTCTCCCTGGGCTCCAATGTCAAGTCCAAGGTCTCCAGTCTAGAATGAGAAAAAACACTAAGAAAAAAGGCAGAAGAAAAGCAGCAGTTTCAAAATATAGAATTAAAAAAAGTATTGTATCCAACCTCTAAGAATGCTTTCCTTAACAGGGATGCAGAGGATGTCAAAACAGACTGGTATTGGATAAAGCACATCAGTGATTTAACTAGAAACCAAATGTTAACACGTATACCACGCACAACCTCTCAAATCGATCTGAAACTTACTGTGAAATAGTTTTAAAATATTTTCAAAGTGAAGGTTACCCAAACTGTGATTTAGCACAGGACTCTTTGGGGGCAAAAAACAACCTCAGGCACACACTGCCAGGATCATTGTAGAGTAACTTGATAGTTGTATGAAATACCTCATTCCAGGTCATTGGCTCGGTCCTGAACAGAGAGCTCGTCAGTTCAACAGACAGGCGCTTTTTGTAGTCCTGAGGCTTGTCCTCCGACATGCGGAACAAGACCGCCGCGGCGTACGTAGCTGCAAGAAACACAAAGGGGGCAGAATTACAGCACTTGCCAGCTGGCACAACCCAAGCCCAACAGGGGAGAGGCGCCGGGGAAGCCTTGCTCACCCACGCCCTCGTTCCTGGAGTGGAGCAGCTCGGTCAGGGGGGCGGTGGCCCCCTCCGCCTCGATGGCCTCGGCTGCCTCCTTGTCCTGGGCCAGCTCGCAGAGCACGCCCGCGGCCACCCTCTGGATGTTCTCAATGGGGGAGTACAGCAACTGAGACAGGGAGCAACAGAATACTTCCATTGGGAACCGCTCCAGCAGGGTGGGAGGAGCCCGGTTCCGCAGAAAGGCCAACCAAAGCATGCTTCACCTGCACGAAGAGTGGAATGGTGTTGAGCCCCCGGATGACAATGCGGTTGTGAACGTCTCTTGCCAGGATGTGCAAAGCTCCAGTGCAGCCCTCGACGATTTCTTCCATGCGAACCCCTTCCTGCAACACGGAAATACTTGAGCTCGGTCACTTCTAGACAAACCGAGGCCGCTGCATTATTCAACAGGCCCCATTTATCAAGCGGAAATCCCAAACATTTTCCCCCCCCCAAATCTCGCTTCTGCTCTCAAAGCACGAAACCCACCCAACTCATTACCCCCATTTCACTCCGGAATCGCCATCCAGAGAAGGAAGCCGGGTTCCCTTATCCTCAGAAGCACAGACTTACCACGAACTGCTGCTGTGTTCCGCCCATGGAGGTGCGGCGCTGCGTGTCTTGGTGCGCTCTCACCAGCAGCTGCACCAGCCTGGGAATGGCGCCCTGCTCACGCAGCGGAGCATGGTTGGCTGGGCACAGGGCCAAGTTGCGGATCAGCCCCACCGTGGCCTGGACAAAACGAACAGCGGAGGGGAGGTCTGTGAGCTCGGAGCAACAGGAGGGTCAGCACACATTCTAGCAGAGGCAGATACAGAAGCCTTCAGCCACACAGGCCAGCTGACCTCATGAGGACACACCTTAATCAGCGGCCAGTGAGAGGGAGGGTGCAGCAGCTTCACCACCACCGGCAGGCCGTAGTGGAGGCGCACGGCGTTCTGAGCCATCTCGGCGTCCTGGTGTCGGCTCGTCAGGTGCCGGAGGGCACAGATGGCGGGCTCCGTGATGTCCTCCCGGTCCCCGGCGCGCAGCACCGTGCGCACCAAGGCCTCGATCCCCCCCACCTGGCACACCATCATCTTGTTCTTGTAGTTGTTGCAGGTGAGATTGGAAAGGATGCCGGCGGCACACGTCACCACGTTGATGTCATCAGAGCCCAGCAGCTGCACCAGGGTGCCAAGGAGGCCTTCCATCCCCTCCTACAACAAGAGGGAACATTGCCGCGTCTAACAATTGACCGTTTGCTTCACTTTCAGTTATGCACCGTAGACCCGGAGAACGAGATCTCTGCTCCTCTGTATACTTGTATATGGCTGGATTAACAAACAAACTTGAATCCCAATAGCAGATTTTGCGGTGTACTAGATAAGGTGCAAGTTCTCGGCCTGGACCTGCGATTTGTTGCACAGAACAGTGTAAACCGTGTCCATGGACTTGATAAGTTAGTAAATGTCCTTGTATAGAACCTACAATCTGGTAGTTAGCAGTAGACATTTGCCACTGAAACCAGGTTACTCCTGTAATCCGTTTAGCATTTGCAGCCTGTCACTTTAAAAGCACTTCCTCCAACGAAACAGGAAAAACGCATGTATATGAACTCCAATCTTCTCAAATCTTTGCAGTCACATTTCCAGGTAAAGGACAGGAAATTACTGCTTTAAACCAACCTGCTTTGTTGCAGCATCTGAGAGATTTCTTAGGGTCCAAAGACAGTTCTGAACAAGACGCTGACTTGGGTCTGTGAGGTGGAGCCCCAGTGCCTGCATACCACCTAAAACACACAAATGAAAGCTCACACCATCTCTTTATTTCAACAAGCTCCCAAAGCTGAATAAAAATGGATATCATTTTTAACATACCTGCTTCAACAATGGCAGGCTTATTGCTTGAACAAACAGAAAGCACTTTAAGCACTCGACTGGTGGTCCAAAGCAGCTTCTCGTATGTGTAGGTCCTCATGATGTTGACGAGCGCCTGTGGACCTCCGCTGGCTAGGATGATGAGCTGTAAAGGGGAGGGAAACGCTTAACGTCTTGAAGGGACTCAATCTGTCAGCACCACACTTGGATTCAGGGACCAGCACCTTACCTTGCTTTCCTGGTTGCCATAAGCCAAGATCTGGAGGCAATCAGTTGTGATTGCAAGGAATTTGACATTTGTCTTGTTGAGCAAGGCAACCATTTTCTGAAGGCCACCAGCCAGACGAACTGCCATCTTGGCCCCCTCCTGGTGCAAAAGCAGGTTGTGGAGGGTTGTGATGGCGTAGAACAGTACTGAGTCGACAGGAGACCTGAAAGATCAACACCGACGATAAGGCATGTGGCAAAGCCAAGTCCTAACTCAAAGCAAAGCCATTATCCACACATTACAATAAAAGTCATTTTGTAAATGTATACAATTAATTGTGCACTGTAGGAGCACAAATCTAGCAGAATAATCAGACCACTAGCCAACTCTAGTGTTATTAATAAACCCAATCTGTTCATTTGAGAACTAAGCAATGCTGAAAAACTAAAAAGGAGACTAACAGTGTTTAGACATGTATCTCCACCTAAGAACTGGCTGCAAATAAGGTAATATAGCCCATTAACAAAAAACTGAAGCTACAACTTTACTGCTAGTTGCTTTTACTTTGCAACACACACCCACCACAATTTATCTGCCTTTAAACTAAATTTCTCAATTAAACACATCGAAGCAATATACTGCGACACTGCGGACTAGGTAAATGTCAATACCCAGCACGTAGGAGAAAAGATTAGCAAAACCTGCATACATTCAGAAACTGTCTATCCAGATTAAGTTATATATTCTGTAAATATTCAGATGAAAAGCAGACAGGGTGGTGTTAACCTTATGATAAGCCATTAAGAGCCAGATGACACTTACCCCAGCATTTTGACTAAGGCAGGGATGCCACCCGACTTGAATATTGCAAGCAGCCCCTCCCGGTGGTGAGAGAGGTTGTGAAGCGTGCCAGCAGTGCACCGCGCCGTTTCCACATCGTTCGTGTTCTGCATGGTGCGGACGATGGCCGACACCATCTGGGGCGAGCGCATGATGGCGTGGCGGGAGGCCTCTTTCTTGGACAGCTGGTGAACCATTACTGCTGCCTTGTTCACAACCACCTGCAGAAGACAGACGGACACGATCACTTAGCTGGGAAGCGGGTGCAGCCAACAGGGGCAAAACCTGCTTGTACCGCCAAGGAAGAACCCTACCTGGTCCTCGTCGTTCAGAAGCTTGGTCAGCTCTGGGATGGCTCGTGTGGCCAGCTCAGCGTCGTCCTGATAGTTGATCAGGTTCACCACAGCGTGCTTCAGCATCTGGGAAGGTTCTGCCAAGCGCTGCACGTTGGTAGGGTGAGCGCCATCGAACTGCGTGGAAGGGATCTGCATGCCTTCATCGAGTGTTTCTGGAAACATCGCAGCCCTCACTCTCTGTGCTCTGGTCATGGCATATTGTCCATCTATATCTGCAGAGAAAATGACATGTAACTGCTGGGTTTTTATTAAATTACCTGCCAACGTTAACCAATGATCCAGTCCTTTTGATTCCTCTGATGCAGCTCTGCAATGACACCTCAGGTAAGACATCTGCAGTGCCGACCGGAAAGCTGGGCTGACTTGGCACAGTTCAAGTCCTCACCAGCCCCCACAATGCATGACACAAGAAGCTCATTCCAAAACACGTAATTTCACCTGATCGGTTTTAATCACACCAACAAACGCCCAGCCACAAGGGCGCAGGGCAGAGACACCTCAAAGCACTTCTGCACCCAAGAGTTAAGCAAGCCAAGTTCAAAATGCCCACCTGCCACCTGATCCTGAGTGAAGGACTGCGAGAATCCCGTCTCCCATTCGTACAGGACCTGGTTGTCCACATCGTCGTCCTCAGGGTTGCCCTTCCCACTCAGGGAGGGCGCTGTGGTCGTTGCTCCAGAATGGATGCCAGAATCCAAGTAGGACTGCTGTTGCCAGTGGCTGACTGCTGCCTTACGGTCTGGCTCCATGGCCATATCAAGCTCCATCAGATCAGCTGGAAACAAGAAAGTTGAAAAGGGACTCAGACTTCAAATCCATCCCCCCAACAAAAAAAAGGCTGTTTTATTCAGAAACCGAAGTGTCAAGGAAACGAGGTAATATGTGGATACAAGGAGATTAAGAAGCACAACTCCTTTAAATTAAATAGATGGTGCAAAACAGAAAACTGAGGAAGATTTAGCAAAACTGCTAGTTGTTCTAGATAACATGGCATTACCGCTCGGTAAAAACCCTTAACTTCAACAAAAAGACAGAAACGTCAACTGTGGAAATGTTCACTGTAACACCTGTAATAAAAACCATGAATTTTTCAATCGAATAACCCCCCTCCCCCCCTTCCCTCGCAACTTTCCATATATTAAAGAGTAAGGAAGCCCTCTGCCACTTTGCACCAAAAAAGGGTTAAAACCGCTTCCCCAAAGAGCAAGTGTTTAATTGTAGGATGCAACACAGTAACAGGTATTGTATAACTATACTGGACCCGCCATCTATAGCAAGACAGTCAAGTCCTGTTGTAATAACTCAAGCAGCAGGTATTCAATGAACTCACCCTGGGTAGCCATCTTCTGTTCAGAACCCGCAGCCTGCACAGCGTCCTGTTCTGCAGGAGAGGACAGGAGTGTCAGCGCGGTGTATTCCAGTTCAGACAAAGTCAAACCAGGAACATGTGAATCAAGCTCGTGGGCGGGGCGCGCTCTCAGTTTAAATCACAGCCCGTTTTCTCATGTCCGCGTTACTCACAATTTAAATATCCAAATGGCAAGAACCGAGACCTATTACTTTCCAGTGCGGTGGAGGAAAACACCCAACCCCACTCTTGTGAACACCCTCCCCCACAGGAAACTGGCCCGGGGCTGCGTCAGTGGAAATCCTGCCGGGTGCAGAAGCACCTAGGCCGAGATCAGATACGGGGCATCGAAACTGCACAAACTGCAAAAGAGCTGGCTTGAACTTCCGACGGCCAGTGGCTTCCAGATTTGCTCATCACAAATACTTGAATTCACAGTACTATAAACCAAGCTTTAACTAACCTTTCCAGTGGAGTCTTACCATCGAGTCACAAACATTTTATTCATAGCCTTAGTTTTATCAACTGAATCTCTATTAATAATGTAGTAATTAGCTTTAGAATGAGTATTTAGCAGAACCTCAAAACTATTAAAAACCCAGAGAAAGTGCTTGTAACTGGAACATACATTATGGTTCTTCCACAAACAAAAGCTGACCGCTAGGGTTTTTAAAAAAACAAAAATGCTGAATTAAAAAACAGCCCCCTGTACAGGCTCAATTAGAAGTCTTTCCTTTGCCAAGAGCTGGATATCTCCAGGGTAGACTGGGACTTGAATTCAACAGTTGAGGCGGTTAGCCAAGCCCATTGTCCACACCTCAGATTCAACCTACCATTAACACGGAATAAGGCAATTCTATTCCAAATAACCGAGAAATGGTATAAAGCACCCTTATTAAAAACAGTAATGTGAAGCCTGCATGCTGATGTAGCTCCCTAAAACTAAAAAAATGCTGTCGATTTCTTTAAATTTAATCCCACTTCCCTGCATTTCCTTTGGTCACTGCTGAGCTCTGCTGATGGTCCTAGCTCTGAATATCACACTGTAAGGCTGACCGGTCAACTCCTGACCACAGCGCTTATACGCTCATCTAGAAGGCTCAAGCAGCAGGTCTGCTACTGCTTCCCTTCCAACCACAAGGTAACATCCCTACCTGGCCCCTGTCTGAAACCCTTAAGGGAGAGGAAAGGGTGTCTATTGGCCATAGACAACTGAAAATCCTGCACTCATCTATTCCTCACAGGAAGGTACAACACTTTTGTGCACAATCCACCCACAAAAGTCAACCATTTCTCATGCCAGCTGATAACTGGGGGGCCAGTTTTGAGAAAGGGGTCAAGTGATACCCATACCCTCTGAACTGCAGGTATTATTCCCTGGTTTAATAGTTTTCCTGTTTAAAAACACCCCCAGATGCTTGAAGAAAAACAAAAAAGGGGATAATATTCTTCAATTTCTTCACAAATCTCTTTAAAAGAAACCCATATCTGAATAGTGGGGTGCACAAACAAGTAATGGCTTGCATTCTGAACAGCACTTCTCATTAACTGTCACACACACGTCTACCACAGCCATGTGACACCCAGCTAAATGCCAGGGACAGTTCTACACAACACACCAGCTGGATGTGTTAAGTGACTTCAAATAACTTCAGCCAGAAATTCAGAGAGCCCATACTGAACAAGCACGGAGTTATTTTGCCAGTACACAGGGCTGTTTATGAACAGCACTAAAGCATTATTAATGAGCACGCAGCCAGTTCCTTAGGTCAACATCACACCTGACAGATGGCACCGCCCACAGCCAGTCATCATGCTGCAACAAGAATACTGGTACATCAGCACCCCTTAACACAAGCAACCTGGTTTTCCTTTGAGATCTCGGATCACAGCACCAAACAGGTCCAACCTCACTAAGCTTCCAGGATCAGGCTGCAAGGTGGGAATGCTCCAGGCATGCAAACACCCAGGGTGTTAAAACTGTAAGACCAGCAATATCCCAAAGGGGCACTCGAGACCATTTAAGATTCTACACTGAATAATAAATCCTATGCATTACAGTAAACAAACACAAATAGTGTCAGGCTTGAACAGAGGACCACCTTCGCTTTTTCACAGTACACACTGCTATAAAGGTCCAAGAACAAAGATTCATTCCAGTGAGCAAACATTTAATCAAGCAGAACGTCTGAGGCAAGGTACATACTAAATTATGAAGTGCTCCACATCTGACAGTTTCACCATCTTGAGTACGATTTCCTTAATGTAATCACTCCCAGGCTACCTTAGGTTTTATCATATTAAGATATTTAAAAATGGAAAAATCCTTAGCCATGTTATACAAGTAAGGATCTACACCTGGAACATGAGGAAGACCACAAATGAAGGCCATTTGAGTCGCACAGCTACCAACCCCCGTTCCAGTGAGTCTGGTTGGCAATCAAACCTGACCTGCGTGTCACTGGGAAGAGGAAGGAGGGAAACTGCAACACCCTGCAAAAACAGAAGCACAGGGGACTGCCTGCCCACCCCACACAGGCACAAACCAGAACTCACCCCACAAGCGCGAGGCAGCAGTGCCGAAGCCCCCTGCAGGGCAGCTCATCCTAGAGCCAGTGCCTCACGAGATGGGCTCCCCTGATGGGCTCATCATAACCGGCACGCGTACCACAGCTGCCCAGCAGCACGCTCGGCAAAACCCGTCTCAGTCCTAGCATGGCACTACGCTGCTCTGCTGAACACAAAGCTTCCTAGAAAAGGCCAGCCATTTCCCAATAAAAACTCACTGGCACCAACTGGTCTCTTCATCCCCTGTAAGTGTTCAAGCGTGGGGGATAAGCTTTCAGTTCTTTTAGCTTATGACCTCAAAACCTTAGCCATGCAAACAGCACTTGTCTACAGCATAAAGATAAAAAGGACATTAAATACCGTCTCATTAACACTACTGTGGAGACAGGGAAGACCAGGCTCCACAGTGTTAGTTAAAAGAATCAAGAAAGATATTCATGCCAAATTAAGAATCTTGTCTATAATTATAAACCTTTAAGGAAACAAAGGGTCCCAAACTACCACTGACCAGTATCTTCAAAATATGAACTCAAGTTTTGAATGTTTATAACAAAGAAACTGCATTTTTAGGAGTTCGCAGTGCTCATTTTAAAACCATCTTCTCAGAAACATTTCAGTCGTGTTCAGTAAGAAAATTTAGGCTGTAAACAAAATATTACTAGCTTTTGTGAACCCATACAAAAACCATTCTGGACAACGCAGTCTGCACAAACCATCTCAGCAGAACATCTGAAAACACGACTGCGCCGTTGCCCGTCACACACACACACACCTGTGACCTGGCTACAGTGGTCACATGAGGCCAGCCAGCTGCTGCCCCACTGGTCGCCACCAACAAAAGCTGATTCTTTGCCAAGGCTGTTACAGTGAAGGCAAAACGACACGGACAGAGATCACAGCAGCAGCGACATGGACATGACATCTCTCTCACCGACTCTTTGTGTGGCGAACTGGCTGGGACTTCACCTTAATCTCGAGCCCACTGCATGCTGAAGGCTGGGATGATCTTATAGCACCCATATGGGGCCTTACAGCTGAAAGGAGAACCAACCACAGATGCCTGAATGGCTGCTTTGTATTCCTACTAATGCAGCAACAAGGTTACCACATGCGAGACAAGGAACAGTTTGCAAATTAACTGGGCAGAAAGGCAAGTCTTCCTTTGTTCATTGTTGGGATCCTGCCACTGTTTTGTTGGGAAATTTGATCAGAAAGTTCATTGTTACGTGGCTTTTACTCTATTGACCTACTATTGTTGAGTTGTGTATTCAAACACATTTCAAGGCAATATGAATGGATGTCACATTCACTTGTTGATTCTGTATTACATTGAATTATACATTGATTCCATGTATTAATAAAAAAAAGTTTCATGACATTCGCTACTTACAATGTTATAGCAAAGACTATAAAAGTAGCAGATTATTCTACACACAGTAACCATGCCGATTTAAAAAGAGGTTGTAAACTACACAAAGCCAGAAGCCAGTAGCTTGTGGCTACTAGTGGAAGCAGTACATGGTGCACATGTGCAGTGCACATTTTGCCCGAGGATGCAGATCATGGGATTCTGTCCTCGACACAGGAAACACTGCTGGCCCTCTGCTCTCCAAGCGCCTGGTGCCCAGCACTCCGCAAATGTGTTTTTATGAGGCTCAAGTGTGGCAATCAGGGCACCCCCAGCGAGTGAGCGGCTCGCGGACACATGTGGTGCCCGGTGGGGATGAACTCCCACGGAGGCCAGCGAGGAAGACCCCAGGACCCGCTCAGCACAGCCCTGAGGAGGGGCTGGCGATCCCAAGCAGCGCTCGGGACCCGCCCCTCCACCGAGCCCGTGCCCGAGTGCGCTACACCACACCGGCTCAGCTGTACACTGTTCACCGAAGGAGACGCACACTCCTGCCAGATACAGAAAGGGCTTTTACCCAGCTAATTGATTCCAGAAACCGCAAGAGCTAACAAATCTGAGGAACAGATGAATAGCAGTTACACACCATATTCGAGTCAAGTGAAAATATACCTTCATAAGTAACAAATTAAGGACTACACTAGGCCTGAATTGACAAAATTATAAATAGGCTTTCAAGAGGCGAATGCACATCATATCTAAAAAGAAACAAAGGCTTGTCTTCAACGTGGGAAACAAGCAGTATTCTAGACCCACAGCCATAGCCAAGTCCTTGGCAACAATGACAAGATCTGCAAAACCTAGCCGCTCAAAAGCTACCATTATAGTTTCAGCTCCAATAAAGGATTTCATATGCAGACATGGCAACTGCTGCACATTCCTGCACTCCCCGATTCACAAGCATCTTCAGACACTTGACACTCTGGGCACAATGAATTGCTATATTAACACGGTTTAATCAACTCCCCACTGTACATTAGTATGGACTACCCAGTTGTCGACACCATCCAGAACCAGCAAAAAATGCTCGTGGATCTCCAGCCTAAAAAGAAAAAAATCCCAAGTGCTTTAGCCAGTCAGCTGGTAAGCACTGAAGCAGCCAGGGAGCTGCAAGAGGCACTGAGATGTAAGCGACAATTCAGGGCAAACTGGAAAGGTGGTCTTGCTAAAGAGAGTCAATGCCCATGAAATCAGAAAAATGTGCAAAGCATGCTGCTCCTAGCTCGAGCCATAAATGATGCAATGGGTCACAATCCAGCCCCTGGTGATGAGAAGACATTCAAACTCATATGCCTGAATGCTTCCCAGTCAGCTCATCTTCCCTATCACACAAGCCACACACTCCCTAAGCACTGCACCACCATAACGTGACAAACTATCCCCGGACACTTAAAAACACCAGTGGGGCTTTCATTTCCTGCATGTAGAATAAGGTCACTGTTTTAACGTGTATAAAATGGGACCAAACCAAGAAAATGCCCAACTAATACTGAAGCTTTCCACTTCACAAGCCAGACATACCAAAACAAAGAGGGGAGAAAACCACCTACTGTCACTGTACTGCCCTGCCACTTCAAACTACCCAAAGCAGAGGGGTGGGGCTTGTCCCAGTCCTGAAATGTATCCAGTGATAAGCCTCCACTAATCAAAACCACAATGGGATTAGACAAGCTAGAAAAAAAAGCTTTTGCAGTTGGCAGAGCAATCAAGATGACTCAATCAAACCAGCCCGTTTGGTTTGTCGCCACATGTATTATAAGGACAGCCCTAGATCTGTGAAGTAACGGCAAGTTAGCCTTTAAAAAAGTATTCTAACAATTACTTTTCAACAGGGAAGTCAAAGTTAGGGCAGCAGCACCTTCAATGAGAAGATGAAGATTCTACAGCTGTCACTTCAACCCAAGACTGTAATATAAATTGGTAACGAGTAGGAAACAAGACTCAACTCTACCAAATTTAAGGTAAGAAAAATCTGCTGCAAATTTCAACAAGTTGCAAATATTAGGTCCTAGTCTTTGCTACAGATCCCTGTAAGCACACAAGGCCCCACAGAAACCTACCTGAATCCACAGCAACACAAACACAAAGACATGAGCTAGTGCCCAGGTGTGGCTTCACAGAACTGCACAACGTGTCACTTTTCATTCTATACATTTGTGAAGAACTCAATTGCAAACTGACAAGGAACCACAAGAACAACCATTTGAATGAAGAGGTTAACTCCCCTTTCAAAACCATCACAAAATGCCCAATGCCGCCTGGTTGAACACTAAACCTCGAGGTTCGATCATCCTTTGCTGTACAAGAGTAACTGCCAAACCATGGAGTATAACCATCGTCGTGCTGAGTATTTACTCCAACAGCTATTTTACCTTATACAAAGATCACAACCCCCCCCATAGTCCTGGTTTCATCACAGGTCATTGTAACAGTTGCTCAAATCGATGGTCGTGGAAATGAACTGATTCAATCCCTGACCAATCTACCCAGGTCGGCATCGCACACAATCAATCATACTGGCCCGTTCAGCCCCAGCCATCAGTCAGCAGTGCTGAAGCACAATCCACAGCCCTTCATGCGGGTGGACTTCCAACCCGTTTACACATTACACACGTTTGTCCTTCACAAAATGAAGTCTCCACGAACTCATCTGGTATTTTACATCGCTAGACGTTGACACAGCAGGCTGCCCACAGCGACTGTACCGATGGCCCTTCACCAGCAGCCTGCAGGACAGCTTGTGTCCTTTACTCAAGTCTGAGCTCTTTCAAACTGAGGAAAACACGGGGCCAGCTGGAAAAAATACCTTACACCAGAAACACCGGTCTTAATCTAGCAACGGAAATGAAACTGTAGGACCCACTAATTCAATACAAGAATTACAGTATTCCACGTCAACTCATTTAATTATGCAAAAAAAAAACATCACAAAGGCAATTCTTACTTCAGGCAAGGAATCAAAACACAGTACAGCAAAAGGGAAAACTACGTTTTATGTGACTATGTCCAAAAACTTCTAAACTATTCTAATCTGCTTTTATTTTAATCAAATCCAGTTATAAAGATTATAAACAAAGATTTGATTCACTTCTACACACAAGCATATTGAGGATCGGGGTAATAACCCTTAATTCACAAGTCATTCTTGAACCAGGAGGCAGGAAATCTTTATTTACCTACACCACACCTCTTGTACAGACACCCCCACCCCCCACCAATTACCGCTAACAAAAAATAAACAGCCTACAACCAATAACACTTAGTTGCAGTACTCAGGAAGAAGAAACAGTTGATTAGTTCTCTATGAAAATCCTGACTGTTCCCAACTTGATCAACAGTAAAACACCTTTAAAGCGCTGTTGTTCGTAGCTGTAGCATTCCAGGTTGTGGACATGTTTGAGAGATTAGTTTTGCCAAGATTAATCATAAAACAGTCGGGGCAAATCTAGGTTAGTCAACACAGATCTTATTGTGTATAAATGTAAAAAACCTGACTGTGTTGGGGGTGTCTTAAAACATCAAGTCCGATAGGTCTCTGTCTCATTTTGAGCCCTTTAACCTCCACCATGGAGAACATACCATTTCTGGCATTTTCCACCCAGAGCAAATCACCTAACTGATCTCAATCAAGGTTTAGCATAGACCTTTCAGATAACGCAAACAAAGAAACCACCAAGCGCTCACAAGTAAGCGTGCCACAACCCCACCTATGCAGCAGAGTATGTATTATGTAGGGCACACATGACCAAACATCTCACGCCAAGTTTCAGTCCCACAACCCCCTGAGTCTGCCACTGCCTAACCTGAAGCACACCAGTGCCACCAGTCCACTATGAAATCCCACCCCACCCTCCTCCCCACAGGCCAGCGCAACCGCATTTTTTCCACAGGCCGAGAGGAATGCCTGAGCTCTGCTCACTTCGGCACTTCTCCGCGCTGCAGCTGAAAGGGCTCGTGGTGAAGAAATAAAAGATCTGCTGTTGGGCTCTCGGCCCCCAGCTTCCAGACAGCCGCCTGCACCTCCCTCACACATATGGAACTCATTTGGTGCAGAAATCTTCAAAGGAAAGGCAGGCTGCTAGCACACCTCCCCCCAAAACCGCCGAGCAGTGAAACACGACCCCGAAGCCTCCAGCTTCGCCTGCCTCTGCACTGCCTCGCTCCAGCTCCTCGCAAGCCAGCCTGAGCGGCACACAGCCCAGCCCTCCGCGCAACAGAGCCACACAGCCAGGGCTCAGGCTGAACCAGAACCTCGGCTCCACCTGACTGCTCTGGGGCTCGGGGCTGTAAGCGCTCCCCCGAAGTCACCTGTTGATCTGCAGTTCCCCCCTCCAGGACCTTACTCAGAGCCGGGGCAGTTGAACCCCCCCGCAGGACCTTACTCAGAGCCGGGGCAGTTGAACCCCCC